CTGAACTTGAGTCAGAGTTGACGAAAATGTCAAAAGTTGGTAACTCAATTAAGTCGAGAACAAAATAGACATGGGAGAAACTATAAAGTAAACAAGGAATTATATAAACAAAATCACGTCACACTTAATATGACATATTTTCCACATATGACCACATATCTTGAAGGAGGTTATTAAACTTCGTCATACACTTATGTAAAGGAATTGATTTTTATATGGTTGGATATATCCCATACTGAGGTCATATTATCTTTCGAATTAGAAAAAAGTGTTAAGTTAAAAAAGTTAATAAAAAGTGTAAAATAAAACATTAATTGCAGCTGCCTCTAATTTTAATTTAAAAAAATTTATCAAGCAACACAAACTGATGCTTACACCACTTAATGTGGATGAACCATTAAATAACCTTCAAATAACGGATTATAGATAGAAAAATATTGCAACATGTGAAACTAAAATTTCTGTAAACTGACTTCTGTGTCGTATAACTTCTTGCCTATTAGAGAGTATATGATCAGAATGAAAATCTCTTATAGTATTTATAATAATAGTTGCCAGAATTGAAAAAAGAAAAGTAATTTTAAGTTACTCTGTATATTCTCCGCTTCCACTTTTTTGAGGAAGAAACAAGCTACCCTAGATAAGGCGCTTATCAAAAACCTGAAATGTAAAATCAATGAACTTCGGACATTCTTAAATCAAACAGACTGACTCTAACCGGTTATTATTCTTGTGTGGGAGGATTTCTCACTACCGTCTAGGGATCTATGGTGTCTTTTACATGGTTTCAGAGTATTTCTATAATTTCGATTTCTTCGATAAATTCTTACACTGAACCTATATTCGGATTACCATGCCTTTGTATTTTCTTCCAGTACGAGAAGCGCACCTGGATACTTCTTTTGTTAATGTACCAGTACTGGTGTATCATGTGTAATACTGGTGCATTATCCCAGTATATGTTTACCCGTTATTGAAACGAAAATACGTCTTTCTCTGTTTCTCTTTTTGTTTCCCAATGAAGGATAAAAAAAAGTAATATCCTTTTTTATTTTATCTCCTGTTTTTAAATTTAGTGAAAAAAAATTATCGCATTCCATACCATAAAATGCTTTCGGCCCTAGAAACTAAGAGGCTGCTCTTTTCCTGCCATGTTTGTCATTGGTTTTGCGAATTATCCTATAACCAAAGAATATACATCCTATAACGTCTCAATGCAACCTACAACGAAATAGATGCAGTACAGGACCAAGAATATTACTTGAAGTATGACAAGAACCTAGATGTATGAGTAGCTAAACAATGGTTACTGCAACTTGCCACTTAGTGGTTAGCCCACTTTGAGGATCTATCGCACAATAAGCAATTGATGTCTTCGAGTACAAGTGCTTATAGTTGTATGAGTAAACGTCATCTCACCCAAACTTATGCTATAAACAGATGGATATATAACTTTTTAAAAACTTCTTCTCAAAAACCCGAGGAACTATCAAAAACTTTTATCAAAGCTGTTCAAAACTCTCAAAGAGAATTAATTTGGTTAAGATAATTACTATTATGAAGATGTTTCTTGAATCAGAAAAACAGACATCATATGAGCAGGCATCACAATGAGTCTAAAGATGGTCTACCTCAAGCCTAATACACAGTTCAGCTCTTAAACCTAACCTAATCTGAAGATATAAATATCCAGACATTTTATATGCAAAGTCCTAATTGTATGATCCTGTTGGACTATGAATATACATAGCAGCATTGAGAAAACTTTCCAAGCCACAATATCTGCGCTTTTTTTAGCACTTACGAAAAGTCATTCAAATACTTTCATTAGAGAATTGGGAAAAAATAAACTTACATACTACTACCTTAGTGCTATGAGTCAATGTTAAGTGACGCGATTTCCCATTCCAGCATAGATAATATTAAATAAGGTACTTTCGCTAAGCAGTATAAATTGAAGGATTCTAGGAATTTACTTTAAGTATCGCTGAAATCAAACAAATCACTTAAATGAGTCGGATAGTCTCAATCCGACACTAATATTTTTTAATTTTAAGGAATGAACTTAAAAGACATTATTTGTAATTAACAAGCTTTTGACAGAAGAAGGCTTGACCACTTACGATACATTGTTATACCTCTACATAAACCATGAAAACTAAACAAAAAATTGTAGTTAAAATTTATCAAAAGTATAAGATGAAAAGTATAAGATTAAAAGAGAATATGCAGAGGATACTAACCTGGATTTATAATATTAAATAGAAGACTGTCTGCTATTCTCATATAAGCTCGATATAGAATATGGTTTGTTTATTTCGGTATAATGAAGGTATTAAATATAACATCAAAATATGCTTAGTTTGAGATCTTAGTCAGGTCTTTTAGTAGATAGGCTTTCATAGTAATAAGTCTTCAATTAACTAAACTCTTATTATATACTTTCAAAATTATTGAAGCTGTTCAAGGAACTCATTGAAGTAGTTAATATTCTTAAATGTTGCAGCTCAAAATATAAAAAAATTTTTAAATATTATCTCAATAATTTAAAAAACAAATCCTTTTGTATTGTGGCTATATTTGTTAAATAAATATTGAAGCAGTTCTAAGTGGCATGTAAAATAATTCATTTCCCAAAAGGCATTTAATTCCATTCGCTTTAATGGCAAGAGGAGAAATGAAAGTTTTCACGCTGCTGCAATAATTGCGAATCCTCTATGGATAACCTATTAAATTTATATGCTCACCGGAAATTAAACAAACATAGAAATCAACATTAAATAAATTTAATTTATTTAAAAAAAATAAATTGACTGGGGATTTATGTACGGTCAGTTTATTGTGCATATATGGCAAATATTATAAAGAATTTTATATAAAGTAAATAAATAATAAATGAGTGATTTATGTTTAATGCATGTTTGATGAATGATAATATTTATTTAGTTATTAAATGATTTAAATGAGACAATAAAAATATTTGTCAACAGATTTGCTAACAAATATTGTTTCCTACAGTTTATTTAGCACTTTTAGTGATTATTAAAAATACAAAACATGTCAAACTGTTCTCCTGTACTGTCGACAGTTTGATGGTTTGTGTAAAGAATAAGCAATTCTGTAACTCTCAAACTGTATCAATAGTATATTTTAAACAAAATATAATAATTAATAATACTTAAAAATTACAATAAATAATTATAGTAGTTGTGTTTCAATAATTAAATTAGTATTTATTAAAAATCAACATACAGTGTACGTAGCCATGAGACGCATATGCGGCCTACTATAGCAGTAGTTCATAATATATTATGATAAAATAGCTGCGCTCAAGTTAATAGGCCTGCCCTATAAATAAAACAGCAATGACGAAGAAATGAGTTTACTTAAGTGGACACGCTGGAAACCAATAGATTCCTGAATGGAAAGAGACAATTTTTAGAAGACTATAAGTAATGAAGATCATTGTTTCTTAGCTTGTTCTAGAATGCACATCCCTAGCAATTTTAATCGATGTTGCGTATTCGCGTATAACAGAAGAAACTAAATCTCAAGTGTAAAAGTGTAAAAATGACCTTTGGTCACATTGTCTGCTATTATTCGACTATGATCAAGATCAGGAAGAGATTTTTTTGGCGAAAAAACCTTTGTCCATTTAATATTAAGATGTCCTAAACCGCTGACATTCTCTCATTCAAACGACAAAATATTTTCTGTTCACTTAAGTTCAATAAAAATCACAACAGCTCAGTCATGATCCCAGTACTCTGTTCCACTGAGAGCCACTACCCTATATATTATATTATTTTCTATTTCCTGTTGAAATGGTACCTTCCTCATTTAGCTCCATCTTCCTCTTAATTGTGGGCAGAAAATTGGGTATATTAAAATCAGTCAAACACATTGTCACATAGGTATAATACCAATGTTGAAAACATCTCAGAGCGAATTAAAGAATGAAGTGCTTAAAACCTTAAAGTTTGTTCTGGAGAATCCTGCACACAGACACAACAGATGTCTCCTCCACGAACGCTGTTAGACACTTACTAAGAAACTCGACATGGCCAGCTCAGTCTGGCTCCATGCTGTCATATAGTTCAGTGCACCGTTAAAACCGATATTATCTTAGATACTTATGTTTTACTTCTGTGAACTAAGTCAAATTTTCTACTTATGGAGAATAAAAGTCATGTTGCTCGTGAATTAGCTGGTATTGAAATATTAGCCATGTTAACTTTCGTATCTTAAGTTTCATATGAGGTTTGCAGGAGCAGGATTTAAAACGGGCGTTACGAAGTGCCAATAGCTCAATAGTACATTCATTCCTCACTATATCAAGAACCCAAACCAAGTAAGTTTACTTTGAACCTACTAGTACATTTATTAATCGCCTACATTCTATTTAAGGAAAGCCAACTTACTAATCGTTCATTTTTTCCAGCTTACATTTAATTGTTTTGCAATCTATATAGATAGAAGCTATAAATACGTGCAGATCTTTTGGGTGTTCCGTATGTATCTCGTAATACACTTTATCTTGCTTAATAATCCTTCTTGCTTTACTGCGCCCCGTATATTTCCTTTTTTTCTATTCACTAGATAATGAGAAAGCATTTTCATCATCCTCAAAACTACGAAAAGTGTCTCAGAGAGGGGTCATGGCTATCCGATAATTAGTTGTTCGTAAATTCATAATAGAGTCAATCTGAGATATGCCAATGAGATCGCTAGAATGTTTCCTACTTGAGAGGGGTCAACTTATATATCATTTATATCCCTTTTATTTTGTAGTTAATTGTATTCTAAGATGCTATGAATATGCGCAGATCTTCCAGGTGTGCTGAATGTGTTTCCTAATACAACTTGTCAGACAAAGCAATCCTCCTTGGATCGAATAATATATTTTTTTTGAATAATATATAGGAGTATATTGTAATATAAATATATATATATATATATATAATTAATATAAAAAAAAACAATTTTTTCTTACTCAAAAATTTATTTCAAACAATTTGTTGTCGTAGCGATAAAATTAAATAAATATTTTTGTATAATTCGTACCTTAAAAAAATTAATACAATTTGTGCGTTTCATTGGTTTGAATGAATTGGAATTTGTATATTTCACTAAAACAATGTCTGACTGCAATTCATTAAGTTTAAAAAAACTGTTTTAAAAAAAATATCATAAAAAAACTATTTAAATGTGATATATTTTGGCTTAAATTTGTACGTGATATCGTTTAGTTTTTACAGTTGATTTCGTTAAAAGACTGGAAAAAAGTAAAATTGAACTAGCGTTTAAAGTATGTTTTTTTTACATTTAATTACAGATTAATTTAAAAATTAATTAAGTAAACAATGGCAGCGAACAGTACCGAAATCAATGACACGCCCACACCAACAGCACTGTCACAATAATAATCGGCGCAATCGGCTTCATAGAATGTCTTATAGCGCTTCATAACTTCATCCCAGTCGCAGAGACCAACTTTACACCAGTTCAAGTCAACAGCGTATTGGTTGAGGAAAAATATTACTTTTTCCTTGGGAGCAGCTTGACAGTCAAACTTAACAGCAACGAAATTAGAAGCGAAAGGATCAATGTTGCTTGTCTTCCAACGGCGGTAGGACAATTCATTGTAATTAGCAGCAGTGAGCTTAATGTCGTCTTTGTTAATACCCAAAGCGGTAATTAGAGTTTGTACGCCAGAAGAATGTCCGAAATAGGCAACAACATTTGGTAGACTATCAGTATTTAAATGATTCAGCATATCCTTAACAGCGCGGCAGTTAAGACGTGTGTTACCCTCAAAACCGTAGCCTAATTTGTAGTAGTACTTCAAATCGTCCTCATACTCGAAAATCGTAACCTGCTCAGGAGTGAAAGCCTGCAAATGAATAAATTTTTGATCAATTCTAGTTGAATGTGTGGATGTAGTAAAAACTTACCGCACACCAAACAGAGGTGCGATCAACTTGCCAAGCCTGTTCGTAACGGCACATATCATACATGAGGTCAACATCACTTGCTTCCAATGTATACTGGAAGCTATAAAGAAATTATGTCAATACGACGTTTCACATAAATTGTTGTAGTAGTGCCGAGTAAGACTTACCCCAAACGTTTAGAGACTTCATCGAGCGTATTATTCCATATGGTTGAATTTCTGAATTTGCCTGTTTCTGACGTGGAACTGCTATAATCATGTGCTTTCCATGATTCACAATAGTCATAAGGACGTAATAGTAAGTCATCACCTTGCACTTGTTCTTCCTGAGCACCGTTGTTAGCACCAAAAAGTCCTTCAGTGAAAGCTTTGAAACTTTCTGTAGTTCTTTGTGTATCAGTATGACGAAACTGCAAGAATTTGATGAATATTTTATATTTAAATTTAAAAATTTCCATAAATTAATTAAAATTTTTGTTGTTGTGGTTTTCATTTCTATTCGAACCCTTCTAACTTTCAAATAGTTTCTCTTTGTCATAAGACGCCTCACTGTCGGTAAGAAAAAATTAACGTTAAAAAAATTTTTTTTAATTATTTAATAAGAATACATGAAATAACTGTCGTACTGTAAGAAATGAAAGCCTTCAATACATAAATTACATACGCAATAAAGAGTAATATAATAAATATGGAGTGATCATTATGGACAGGCAACAAATCTATCATTTGGAAGTTATATCCATTTCACCCTGCAGGATTATATTTACTAACTGTTGAGCTTTCTCTCCTTTTCACACTGTCTCCTAGTTCCATCTTCTAGAGTAAGATGACAAAAAGAAGCCCCTTACGTTTTGACTCCATTTTTGTTTTTTGTTTCCTTAGTGCTAACTTGTATTAGAACACAACTATTCAAATTCCTAATTACAAATGCTTTGAGAGTAAATATGCAATATAAATGCACACTTTAGCCTCCTTCCATATGAAATCTTAAGTTTGTAGTGTATTGCGATGCTTCAGACCCCACTTTAGATTTCTATCGAAAGAAACCTTCTTATAGTGAGAAGTGGCAGTAGCTTACAGCCACCACAACTAACTTTTGTTGCTTAAAATGGACAAAAGGCAAGCGATGCAATATAATAGAGCATTTCTGCCTCAACAATAGACAAATTATAATCGGAAAGAGTGAAAAGTATACATCCACAGGCATATATTTTATTTTCATACATCATTTTAAAAACAAATACTTACCAAATACACCGATTTATTGTATGGCTTGGTTAAGATTTCAGGATAATATTTTTGATAGAGTTTTGATGTACCTCTGAGATCTTCGTAGCCCTGAAATTAAAAATAAAATTTTTAAATAATTATTTCTAATTAAAAAAAAAATAATAATAGACATGTTTTTATGTTTCTTACATATATATAATATTTATATTAATATGTATATATACATAGGACTTCGCCAGTCAAATTTTTAATGTTTTGCATATCTAAACAATATCAATAAGCGTAACACCGTATTGCTTATTTGCTTATCAGAACTAAGTCACTATCATAGAAAATTTATATCAGATGAAGTTGCATACGTAGTCATACAACAAATGGCTACGCTACGCCGTTGATAGAGTAGTCATGAACTATAATACTTTTCTCCATATATCCTCATACTAACCAGTAGCAGTTAATCTAATATATGCATTTTTTCTCCAAAAATTTAAAATAAATTAAAAAAACTGGATTAATCAAGTCATCTCTTAAGCTTCTGATAACTAAAAAATTTAACAATTCAAGTATGACCGTATGAATCTTACTTCAATTATCAACGAAATTGATGGTATACAAAATTTAGCATGTCCACCCATAATCTGAGCTATTAGGTTATCCCACAAGAAGATCCTTAATGTCCTAACACCCATGATGAATAGATCCGAATATTGAAAAACCGAATATTATAAGCTTACGACCACAAAACCTATGCGTTAGTTAAAATAAAATTAGCACTAAATTTACCCCACAAAAGCAATATCATCCCATGGGTGACATTTACAAGAATTTCATTATGATTCTATCCTTAAGAGAGGCATAAACTACACGATCTTTGTCGAACTCTTTTTAAACCGCAATCTTCATGGGTGGCTGATGTTAGTACAGTTATTTACTCGGAGGGATTAAAGTCCGTTTAATTGGGAAAACAAGTCTAAACAAATCTTCTCTCCAATCGGGGTCCCGTAGTTTCTAAAAAATTAAGCCTATAATTCTAATACATTTCACTACAATTTATTATATTCTATTATATTTATAGAATATATTCCATTCTATTATAGCAATTAGATATTTATTATATATATTGCAATTTATTATTTTTAAAATAAATTAAACCCTTAACTGTAGACTTAATAAAACACATTAAGTCCATAAAATGTTTGCAGTGATTTGAATGTTCCAGAGTAACGGTGTGTGAAGAACCCTTTTAAGAAAGACGTATGCTAGATTTGTTTTGTGTATATTACAAGAAAGTCGATAACGTCTTTAGTTTGACAAATTCTATTTATATATTCATTTATATAATTTATGTTATTCTCAAGTTTGACAAGTGTAAATTAATTGAAGTCATATAAAAACCACTTGAGATAATTGATTTTCTAAAAATTATTGATGACGTTCGGCGAGGTACTTTTTGAATAACTGGAAATTCTATCAATCACACGAGACGTAGTCTTATCTTTCACTCAAAGCGTTTCGTATATATTACGAGTGATACAAATATATCTTATGTACTTGTCACTGTCTTTTGACAACTTCCGTGACGTCAGCATATTGAAGGGTAAAATAAAAAAAAATCACTGTAATCTATTAAACAATTTATTACTGTTGACAAATCATATCATTTATAAAATAAAAACAATTATTGTTAGTAAAACATAATACTATGAACTAAACAAAAACACTTCTCACGCTGAACCTGTCCATACAAATAATTTTAATCAATCATTATCGGAATAAAACACGATCAAATGCTTTCAAAAAACTTAAGTGAACTATCAGTACTTGTTAATTGAAAGTCATTAGGTACTACGACAAATAAAGGCCTAAATATTAAAAACATTTAGAAATGAATTAAGTTCTTAAAAACATTGTAAATCAGAAAATCCGATAAGACAAAAATAGTTGAAAAAAAGATAACGTTTTACGCAGATAATTTCGGCTCCTATTTATTAGTAGTGGATTTTTCTCATGTACTCAAGTAGATCTACTTTAAAGATATACGTGGAATACGTCAGTAAAATCAATTTACCCGAAAGGTGTCTAAAAATGAAAGGAAGTGGAATTAAATCGTCTTTTATTTAATATTCACATTTCTCAAAAGATAAATTATCAAGTTATTAATAGGAAAATGGACTTGCTGTAACTTAAAAACACTAACTGCCTCACTTCCGGCCAAATAGACATTAACCTTATTTAATAAATTTTGTGACAAGAAAGAGGTAAATAATCCCTAAATAGATTGTCAAAAAAATGTAAAAAAAAAATATAAAATAAAATGAATAATTGTACTCCAGAACTTTTGAGATCCAGAGATCAATCCTTGGAGAATGCCTTATAGGCTAAGCTTTAAAAATTAAAGCTATTGATAAAACTACTAGTAAGTCCAACATACCATAAGGACTCTATAATTCAGGTGGTTCTTTTATTATTATGGTACTTAAAAGGAGAATAATGCACTGCGACCTATAAGATCTATGTCGGCTTTATGAAAGCCAACCAGACCAAATATATCTTAATATATTTCACTCCGCGCTTCGCAGACTCTGTATATCTCAGTAACCTTTCATTAGATCTTTGATAATAATAACGAATAATGGAGTAGCGATTCTATTTAAGAATGCATCTATAATATTTAAATAAGTTTACCTGACTGGTTAAGTAGTTCTCTTGATCAGGTGTAATACTGGTATTCCACTTCCACATTTGCAATGCAATCAAATCTTCCTGACAAAGCGCATTAGTAGCCGGTTTCGTTTTGAAAACACGATAGTTTTTCACAATTGAGTCTCGTAACTGAAAATTAATAATTTTAAATTATTAAATTTAGTTTTTACATAAATATAAATAAAATAATACAATATAATACAATATATAATACAATATTATACAATTTTTTTTATACCTCCTCTAGCCTGGGAGCCTTTTCAATGGTGCTTTTGGAAGGCAATCTTGTTCCATGTCTATGCAAGATCCAGATTTTCTTTGCTGTGCAGCCTAAATTTTAAGAAATGCAAAATATTTATTGATTAAATTATTATTTTTAATACTATTAATTTAATTTAATTTAATTAATTTAATTTTATTTAAGGAAAGAAATCAATGCCTAAAATATCTAATGTCTAAAAAGTAACTTCTTTATCGCCTGTGAACCCAAAATAAATCATTTTAAAACAACTTTCAAATTTTTCAGATATAAGAACATATATGAGAGAAGAATATTGCAAGATAATTCAGAAAAGATAATTTAGAATTCCGATCTTTAAAGCGTCATCGTCAGAAAATTTGGAGTCAAATTTGGATATCTATGAAATGAGCTTCTACAGACATAGTTAAGTACTTTAAAGTTTTTAAATAGTTTTCGATGATAGCTAGCGATAGCTCAACTATAATATAATGGATGTCCATCGTCGAAACGCTAAGAGTTTAAGGATTGTACGCCTAAGCACGATACCTTGCGTAACTCCACAAAAACTTTAACTGACGAAAAATCACGTGATCATTTATTTTCATCCAAACCATTTTATTTGAACACCCAATAAGCGTATGTTCTACTCATTCTATGATACATATTATAAAATGCCAAACCTTGCACTAGATATTATAATATTCTTGGATTGCAGTTTTGATCGACTTACGTCAACAAAACCCTATATGGATAACCCCATATAATACAGAGGTATATATTTTTCATGACAATTCCACTGATAAATTACAATATATATTCTGTGAATATAATTTTTCTTACCGGGTACATCATAAAATGAATCAAAATTTGTTCCTTTAATAATTTGATATGCTGTCTTCGAAGTGAAATGCCTTGTTTGCGGTCTTTCTGTGTCTTTTCCAAAGCAATAGTCGTCGCCAAGGACTTGCGATTGCAGAACCGCTAGTAAGGTCGTAAGCAGCAATAACTTCATAACTAAAAGGAATAGAAAAAATATATTATATAAAAAATTTTATTAAATAATTGCTTAAAATAAATTTTTTCAAGAATTTGCAAAATTAATTATAATTTTGGACACGTTAATTTGTAGGCATATTTTTTATTAATTATTATGCCAGTCACGGAGACTAATTTTATTCCAAATTTTTATTGAGTTTTTATTAATAAAATATGGAAGTACCTTCTATTAATTTTTGCACGCATAGTGACAATAATATTTTATAGATAAAATCTGCAAAAGAATATAATGAAATTATTTTAAAAAACTTCTTATTTTAATTTTTACTTTCGACACTATATGTACGTATAAAGCCTTAACCTCCATTGTTTATGGCTATATGTTATTGTACTACTCGACGACAAAAGTGGACTCTTAACGCTCTATTTTTAATCTAAAAGTAATTTAATGTTATGTATATTATGTATTAAAGTAAGGTATATAAAGTACTCTGCAAACCGGGAGATCTATTGTACTACTATAAATAAAGGGTAACGCTATAAAATCTTATTCACACTCATTGGTTTTAAAAACCCCAGAATATATTTAGTATTACCAATGTTTTGTCTGGTTGTAAGTATATTCCTTGTAATTTTTTCATTTATACATCAATGGTAACATTTACCTAGTATGTGCTGTGTATCCGTCACATTTTTTATAGTAACAGAGGTTTTGTACAATATCTATGCTTCACAGGTGTTCATTAAACCTTAAATAGTGCACTTCTTTCTTATCCAATAACCAAGTAGGTATATCACACAGACGGTCAAATCATAACTCTCAATTTTGTGATATTAGTATAATTTTGAAATTTTTGGTAGTGCCTGAATTGAAGGAAGGTTATGATTACATCCAATAATATGTATATTTGTTGCTAAAAGGAGCAAATTCTGATACTTAGTACTGATCAACACTATTTTAACTAAATTGACGATACGGACATAGAAAGCCTCGTCAAGGAAACCAAAGCGTAATCAAAATTACTCAATTTTTTCAATTTTCAGATTCTGCATTAACATTAAAAACAACAAGATCATGGTCATATCACAAATGGCATGACTATACCTATCTATAGAACGTAGTCTTAGAGTTTCAAAAAAGTTCAAATCACTACTGTCTCCTTGATGCGACACAGCATTCTATTCACACTTTAGTATCTATCATTGCCATGAAATATATTTTTGTGGTAAGTTCATCGACCTGCTTACATTTCTCTAATAAAGTTCAGGTTTTATCATTAAAATGAAATCTACTTAAAAAGTAAATTCATCGACCTTATTACACCGGTTTGAACTCAGATCATGTAAGAATAAAAAGTCAAATAGACTTTATATTTAAATTTCTTCATTCAAATATGAATCTTAATCCAACATCGAGGTCGCAAACTATTTTATCGATAAGAACTCTCCGAAATTAATTACTCTGTTATCCCTATAGTAACTTAATTTTTTAATCATCTCCCAAAGATTCAAATCCCAATCATTATCATGGAATCTCCCTTTGTAGTGATTTCATCGACTTGTTCGTTTTCCTGGACCATCGCATCATCTCAAACAACTGAAACAGCTGATTATATTGTCTCCTTTCCAGCTTTCTAGCTATACTAAACTGATTATATTGTCCCCTTTCTAGCTAATTTAATTTTGTAGACAATACAATACAATTTTCAACCCATGGTCGTAACGCATAGGCAGTGAACCTCTTAGCGTTCGAATGCCAGTTAGCAACGCTACGACCTACTTTTCATATGTACTCTACTATATACTAGGTGAATTGTTATTTTTAATTAAAATACATTTTTCTGACAATGGCAGTGATTATAGGAATAGTCTCAGCATAATGACTCATTTTATTTAAGTACTTAAAAAGTAGCAACAAATAAAAAGAAAGGAGCGAAGTACGTTCCGATGTAAAAGCCTTGAGTACTTAATTATTTTTAGTTCAGTCCACGTCTCACCAAATTCGATTCATCATACATCAGAATAAAATATTTTTAATGATTTAGTCATAATTTATTGCTTTTGTAAGTAATAATGAGAATAATTTATTTAAGTTTGTCTATTAATTTTATATATTGTTAAAATTTTAATAAAATTTTGTTTTTTCCCCCTTTCGCCTGTATTCGCGTAAATTACTACCTGAAATGTTATGTTTGAGGATGTGATATAGTTATTCTTTTTTTGTTGTATGAAGTCATAACTAAAATTCAAATATGAGCTTACATATATTGTAGATATGTATATAACTCTATCCATATTTTTATAATTTCTTCACCATATCCTTTTGTTATCATTTCCTTTACATGTCTTAACACTTTGTGACGTACCTCATCTATGCATTTTAATATGAAAATGATTTTGCCTACCCCAAACCGGAAGCACATTTCCTTTACGAGAAATCTCTAAGGTGTGTCTTCGGTGCGCAAAATTAAATCAAGAAGTTAAAATGCACGTAAAATTGTTAACAAAAAAACTGAAAAAAGAAAATAAAATAAAAACTCAAATAAGAGTTAGGAACTGAAACCTCCATAGGTGAGGAATATAACACAAAAAATGTTAGGAGCAATAAAAAACGCAATCCTTGTAGAATAAATTAATGCCACTGGGCGGCATCGGAGTCAAGCCACATGCACCAGAGCAACAAACATTTTAAGGTGACCATAACGAGGAGGTTTCTTTTAGTAGAGGGCACTACATCAATATATATTTATATACTATTTTATTTCTTTCATGTTTTTATATTAAAATTAGGCTAATAGCATTCAACTGCTCAAAAACACATGTTTGCCATTAGGGCTAGATAATAACTTAAATAAAATTAAGGCACATCGGATAGGAAGGGAACGACTTTAATTTTGATTTAAATGAAATTGGGGAATTCCAACGGATTTAAGGCAAGGCTCTCAATTTGACGCTTCATTTCTTTCCTTTTGAAATTTTAGATTATAAACGTGGAAACGATTGCTTAATTATTTAATGGGTTGTTTTGGGAAACTTTTTCGGGTGATGAGAAATTAGTCAAATGAGTGAAAAACCAATGTTTTTAGATAAAAATAATGTTATAGATAAAACACGTTTAACACTATTGTTGTATAATATACAATATCTAAAATTTCGCAGCAGTGGGTAAGAATAGCGGAATTTTTATTGAGAATAAAAAAAATGCAATTTAGTAACTTATTGTTACAAAAATAGTGCTAAAGCTTTTTATTACTTACCGACATTTACTTCATGTCAAAGCCTATGTTTGAGGATGTGTTTGCTGCTTTGTATACCAAGTTGATTAAATTAGCCTACGTAATAAATAAGATTAAGTTGAAGTGGGGTGTACTTTTACACCAAAGTCCACTTGAGCTCAAACAATACCCCTTTGGTATTCCACGGACTCGCATTGTTTAAACAAAGACTAAAAAATCGGCATGCAAACACCATTGAAAGACACGATTCCTCCATTTGATTAAAATTCCACACACCTGAAAACCCTATAAACTTTGCTGAGTTGCTAATTTTGAAGAATAACAGCTCTATCAGGTTGGACAAGAAAGGGGACCCAAAAGATTTTTAAACTCTTAATTGCCAAATTTGTTGCAAATTTGCAAAACCAAAATCTTCTACTTCTCTTGTGAGTGAAACACAGATTCCTCCTTCTTTTCTGAGTCACAACTACGAAAAATGTCATTATAGAGTAGACCAAGTGTCAATGCATTTTTTGCTAATACACAATTATCTGTCAACAAAAGCACCATAGTGCTGAAAGAGATTCCACTTTTGTTAAAACAGTCCAAATGTGACAACAGTACAGTTTGCACCAAGTAAATCTTGAGATTTTACCAGAATTTTCATCTACTCAGATGCATTTAGCTGTACTTAGTTTAGCCGTTACAAGTGTCATAGCATAATCTGAGAAATAAATATCAGAAATCAGCATATCTGTCTTGGTAAGTTCGTCTACCTAACAGTTATTCCAGATAACCCAGTGTTTATCTTAATAAATTCATCTGCTCAGCAGTTATTCAATATAACTTTGTGTCCAAGTATATATGCTCAGGTAGTATACTACTGTCAAAACAAATATTTTGCTTATTGATTATATAGACAACACACTATTCAAACAGCTCTTAAGCAATTTGTGAACTAACACCATTTTTTAATGAAGAAATACTCAGCAAATCATACCTACACCAAAGAGTTACAACCTAGCGACGTTCATAAATGCCTTTATGTCTACGTTTAAAACAAGTGTTCAATGAAAATTGTAATATAGTGCCAAACCATGAATCTATTAGGTCCACTTTTCTCTGTAAAACTTTGTTAATAAAAGAAATCGTCACATCTCGAGTAAACAAAACCCAAAGACCATCCTATTAATCTGCTACGAATACGTGCCTGATATAAACGGAACAAAAAGTGCTGTTTATGAACTGATGGCGTGATTAGACCACACGCGTGATCGAAATGTCAACGTAGCTGGCTCATTGCACAATATCATGAATAATAATTTTTTACCATATATATGTTCTGGACGTCGTTTGAATTTAATGGAACTTCTTTACATATTACATTGCTAAAAAAAAAATCATATTTATTATATCAAATATTGATTAATTATCATTTCGTAATCAATTTCTCTATTAAATATAAAGAATATTATCACTGGAATATTAAATTCAATTAAACTAAAGTCAATGCTCTCATTATGAGCATTAGTAATCAATTTCTTGGAACTAATAATTTCATATACTGAAAATTATCGTCAACGTCTTCAATGTCATCAATTTATTAATTTCGTATTAAGTTGTTTGTTTTGGGCCAATGTGCGCCTTCGAAGCACTTCCGAAGCAATTCGAGATACAATATGAAAAGGTTTAAGGGTTGAGATGCAATATACATTATTGTTTATTTATTTTTGTTTTTCTTTCCAATTATTGAATTAGTAAGTGACAAGAAAGTACAAATTTTTTATTGAAATTGAGAATTTATTCGTTAAGCCCCCCGCATTATTTCTACAAATTAATGTGGTCACAATTGATTTATGAAGTGAATGAAAGTGTTCTCGTACGTACACTCCCTAAAATTCATAATAAAAGTAATTTATTTGCCTTGTGCTTAAACAATTATTGTGTATAAATATATAAATTAGTAGCTTTCTACAATAAAAGGAAAGACAAACATATTTTTTCTGACTACAGAAATATATATATTAGAATA